CGATTGTGAGTTTTGTCAATGATTACGCGCGAAATTCAGACTTAGTGCTCTGTGCACACGTGGTTATATGATAGTATCTGTGACTTGTATAAATAAACGAAGGTATTTTTTGTAATGTATAATACTTTTCTAGCTAACACATTAATAATATTAAGCATAGACTAATAGACGTTTTTAATTCTCCGCTGAGTGAACCGACAAAAGTTTTGCTTCATGTCAGTTCCTATACTATAATAAATTGTTAGTATTTTTGCAAAAATTGTACTAATCTATTACTGTGTTGTGTTGTTTTTTCTGTGTATGTAAGTTTTGTATGTGACGTAAATTTGAATAGGTACCGTTTTGGAGTAATATGTAATGGTAGCTTATTTTATTGTTAAATAAATAATAGACTGACGTGAACAGTAGAAGTGTTTGAATTTGTAAAGGTTTTTACCAGGGGAATTTTTTTTCCAAGAGACAGTCAATAGTGAAGTATTTGATAGAATGAAGCGCGGCAAACTAAAACAAAATGTCATTATTATGACTAAATTGGTGTTTGGCAAGAGGTTGAGAAAAGTAAATTTTTACATTACCGTATTGATCTTTCAAAGTTTGATGTCGAAAAGTAATAACAGGGTTCGAATTAAGTAAAAGATAATGGCACCCAGACATTATTTCTACATTAAGCGCCTACAAACACGCGATACCGGATGACTTTGGAGCATTGCAATTTGTTTTATCTTTTAATGAACTTTGTAAAATATGTTACATTAGTAGAAGGCTGTTAAACATATTTCCGAGTCTCTCAAACAAAAATATCAAAGGAACGTTGAGACGCGCAAACTATGACACCTGTATGTCAAAATAGTTTTTGACAAACTAAGTACGTCTCGACTCTGAATTTTACCTAAAGTCTTACGCAGTGTGTTGCCAGCTAAGGCACGCTAGTGTTTACTATATTTCTAGAAGAAAACATTAAGTGAGTAAAAAAAAATCAATAAATTATTTTTCATACTCTCGAGTCTCGACACACCTTTTGTTTAGTATTATTATATAAAAGAACACGTCTGATTGACATGCTAAGAATGAATTATACTCTAGCTTACCGTTTATTGCGAATAATTCAAAACAAATCAATTAAAAAGCCGTGTCCCAAAAATAATGTACAAAATTATAATACATCAAGAGATTTATAGAGAACAATATTATAACGGTACTCTGTTGAAAAATATGACGCTGGCAAAACTGTCGAATATTTTTTTAAATTGTGATATTTATATCGGTAAAACCTTTTAAAAATATTATGTAAACATTGATCCGACGCATAAAAGGAGGTATCAGATTCGGAGGTATCAGCTAGTATCAAACATGAACCTGTTTTGTGGGTCTCAATACGTCTAAAGTATTTTATGCCCAGCGGCAAAATCGAAAGGAATAAGCTTTATACATTACACAACTTATCCATAGAAAGCGTAATCTATTGCATATCTCAAATCGTTTGAATAAAAATGTATAAAATAACTTAACATCGTGCTTTACAGTAGTCGCGGTCATCAAATGCTGTTCTATAATTTATTAGTCGTAAACCTCTTACTTAAGTAAAATTATAAATCAAACCGAAATGTACACGTATAAACGTCCATATTAAAAAAAAAATAAAGAATCGTAAATCAAGTCTAAGCTAAGACATAACTAGAAAAATAACAAAAATAATTGTTGCTATTCTCTTCAGTAAAACATTTGTGTTAGAGAATTGTTGGCCTAGGTCGTAGGATCGATCACCGGCTGACGGCTGTGCACCAATGAACTGTCAGTCTATGTGCGCATTTAACATTCGCTCAAACGGTGACGGAGAACATCGTGAGGAAACCGGCTTGCCTTATACCCGAAAAGTCGACGGTGTGTGTGTCAGGCACATGATGATCACCTACTTGCCTATTACTACAAATGATCATGAAACTTATTAATAATTCTAAGATCCAGATCAGGTTGTAGCGCCATTGATTTTTTTAAACAATTGTTATTATTTATATTCTAGGAGTTGGTAGTGGAGTCTAGGTATAATTACAAATATAGCCATAGACATAGATAAACACAACAAATATAGACAAATATACATTCAGAGATACGGGTAAGTGCGAACTAAGAACTTTGGAAGAGACCTAGGTTTGACAGATGGGACTTTCGCGTCTAGACTAGTCAAGACTTAGCTTAGTAGAAAAAGATCCTTAAACGTTTTTGACAAATGCAAGTCACACTGACTCTGAACCCCACATTTTAGCCCACACATACACACATACACACACACACACATACACACCAAATTTATTTTTACGACTACGTTTGTTGCAATGTTTTCTTTTAGCACTTACTTATTTTCTTCTATTGTATCTTATGACAATGACCTGATTGTACGCGTTCGGTCCGGTGGTGGAGAGGCTGGCTATCTGTCACTCAGGTCTCCTTCCAAATGTTATCATCTTACTTTAATCATTGTAACCTTGTATGTGTATGTGAGAGAAGAAATAAAGATTACTTAATATTATTATTATAGTAAAATAGGACTTTGTCAATTGTCCCCAATACGAGAAATCGATATGAACGTAAGCTTCGCTCCCCCACCAATGGAATCGGATTTCAAACCCTTGCCTTAATAATGTCCTAAGCAATTATGGAGTTACGCATCCACCGAAGACACCAACAAATTATTTTGTAATTTGACATCACTATCACTAATTGGGCGCCAACGACGCGATAAATCAATAACTATTGTCACTTTAATGGAAGCAGAAAAGCTTTATTTACGGTTATTTAAACATATATAAAAAAAACATTATCGTTTGGAGCTCAATAACTCCACTATACCTTCAGAGGTTTGGTATATATATTATGATTTATATCAAAAATATTTTTTTTTTGTAGGCCTCTATCCATGGACCGTATCTATAATTGACTTACAACAAAACCTCATATGATCGTCAAATGTTCCAAGTACACCTAAAAAACCAAGTACCTATGAACGCCAACAGAAAAGATGTTAAAAAAATCAGTGGCGTTACAACCTCTTTAAGTCTTGTCTTCAGATTTCTGAATCTGATTCATGAACATTTTTAAATCTAATAGGTAAGTAGGTAATCAGCCTCCAGTGCGGTGTCGGTTTCCTCACGATGTTTTCCTTCACCGTTCTAGCAAATGTTAAATGCGCACATAGAAAGAAAGTCCATTGGTGCACAGCCGGGGATCGAACCTACGACCTCAGGTATGAGAGTCGCACGCTGAAGCCACAAGGCCAACACTGCTCAAGATGAAAAGATGTTAAATGGATTCTAAATTTACATTTACTACCAGTTTGCAAGTCAAAGGTGTAGAGTGGGCAAGAACAACTGGCATGAAACTTCGCCACTCTTTTTAGACTAATACAAATTGTTTGTAAGGCAGCGCAGCCATAAATGCAAGACTCAAAAGAAATTAAATACTTTATTCATTTAAGTGAATAATGAAATCTTCTGGAATATACAGTCCATAGCTTATTCAAATGCCAAATTATCCTCTCCCCTTTCACAAACGTCACTAGATTGGTTTAAACGACATAACCAGACAATATGTCATAAATTGTGGGAGCAACAAGAGTTGATTTGCATTAGACTAACGGTTGGGGACTGAGAGGGCAACTAACACATTACGGCCATTTTCAAACGAAATTAATTCTGAATTTTGTCAACTAATTTTAAGTTTAGGGAAATAAATGTCCGTTTAGTGAACAGACAAGGTTTCATGTCAGTTCATGTAGTGCAAGAAATAGGCATTTTGAAAATTTTGTATTACTGTTAATTGTCGTGTTTTTTTTCTATTTGTATGTAACGTTTTGTCTCTGATATATAAATTTAAATACTTGCCACATTTGAGTAACCTGTGATGGTAGCTTATTTTTGAGTAAAATAAATACGTTTCTGCATCTCAGCCTAAGACCAAGGGTGGATCCCCCTCCCTCAATCCGGGGCCTGGACAGAAAGATTTTCGCTTAAATTGTGTGCTTATAATTGTGTGATGTCGCAGCGAACTAGCCTTTCCGTTAACAACCTAGCCTCTTACTTAAACAGCGTCGTTTAACTAGCGGCTGATAGATATTCAGCCAGTTGATCAAACAGTGAAATGACAAATGACATGGATCGATGACGTTTCATTTCTTGCGTAGCCTGTTGACTGTCAATATAAATTTAGTTCCACTTTCTGCCATTCTCATACTCAAACGAAACTCTTCAAACTGTCAATAAGGCGTCGGCAAACCACAACTATGATGGTGTTTTTCCAAATTTTAATGAAAAAATAAGTACAATGGAAGAGTGTAGTGAGTCTGTCATAACTGTGTGACAGACTCAAACATTTTTTTTTCATGTCAGATGTTTCATATTTTTAATTTCTGTCAGATGGTATCATACGAATGGCCTAAGCATTAGCCAGCCAGTTTATAAAATGTTGTTACAAAAGCTACGGCTTATATTTCAGGCCGCTAGATAAACGGCTCTGTTTAGTTAAAAGGCTAGGCTGTTAATTGAAGGGCTTATTAAGGACCGATCTGGTCGCCACTCCAAAAAAGTACATTGTTTCTTTCCATTTTTCGTCATCGTTTCTTGAAGTAGGGCGAATGGAAAAAATATATGGTGGAGTTGAGTAGTTTATGCAACCATTTTGAAAGATCGATACACGACGCTCGATAGAAAAGAAATCCAAACATAGTTAATTTTTGACACTTTGAATTCATTTTATGACGAAATGTATATAGAACTTGATTTTGAAATTTACACGATATATTTTATCGCAAGCCCAGTAATCCTTTTCAGAAAATGTTTTTGATAAAATTACATTAATGTAATGTTTTACATAACTAATTGTTATTACCTACTGAGGCCGGCGCGCCTCAGTGCTCCAGCTCTCCACTGCGCACCGCAGTCCACCTCGAGACACTGACACAGCAATTATTCATGCTGGGATAGGGCCTTAAGCTAGTCGGCTATAACATGGACACTCGGGCGCGAACGCTCAATCCGCTCTTAACTGAGACGGTATGCGAGACTCCGTCATGCTGCATTATCCCATCAGTGCGAAATCTCGCTAACTTTATTATAGGGTAATAAATAATTTAACTTGTCCGTTGAGTACATAGAGATCGATAATAGCTCTCATTATTTTCAATAACGTGTTTTCGGAAAAATATTAGGTAATAAGTATAGTTATGAGTTTTATGAAATACAATTTTCACAGTAACGACTTCACGATCACCGTAATAACACGGAGAGATAAGCGTTTCTCTTGAATATTCATTTGGGTTCATCATAATTTTGGTAGATAATTTTAAATTATCCAATAAGACATTCGAGACGTGATGCGCCCACGCGGCGATTTATTAACCTCTCACATTATTGCGAGTAATTTAATTGTGATAAACTATTATAAATCTTGCGTAATACATCGCTATAACTCATTTGATTAAATAAAGAACTCATTACGGAAGAACTTGATTTCTCATTGGTAAAAATTCCTTTCTCTTTACTACTAATTTTGGTCGAGTTGCGATCCTTTTTTGAATAGAATAACTGCGTATTCCTTATTTAAATTTTTAAAGCGATATCAAAGTTCTTTTAAATAAACACTGTTCCTTTTTGAATAAAATAATTGCGTATTCCTTATTTAAATTTTTAAAACGATATCAAAGTTCTTTCAAATAAACACTGTACCTAAATACAGAGCATCTATTGAAACGAGTAACCACAGATAAAAAAACACACCGGTTCCGCGGAGTTTTTATAACAAAAGATCTTCGTCATTTTTTGACAAGGAAAAGGCCATCAAATTTGTAATGGAGCGGCGCCGCTCTGTCGGCGCGGAGGCCTCATCTACGCTTTGATCCAATCTGCCGTCGGAGCCAACTTTGACCAATTATCCACCTATATCACTCATGGCTCCAACCCGAATGAGCCATAATGCCTGGGTAATTATGACGACGTCATTTCTTTCTTTTAATACAACCATGTTGGTGCATTGTGACGCTTTCTTCTTTGTACTTAGTTGAAGTATGTCCTAGATTCGAAACCACATTATATAAACTTACGTCTGTATTGTACATTCATTTAACACTTAATTGTTTACACCAAACCATATGTGATTAACTAAGTTTGGTCAACGGATTAAAAACATTTTCAGGGAACTAATTCTGAAAAAGTGTTGAAAGGTGAATGTTTGAGAATATGTATAAAATAATAATCCTTTGATTGATGTGATTAAATCTTTCAGATTTTGGCCTATGTCGGCTAAAGGAAAACCTAATACAAGTTCAAAAATGTTTCTTAGTACTTTAGAATACTGAAGTCAGACGACAAAATGATCGTAATACGCAATGCAATCAAATCAAATGATTTAAAATTCATTCCTAGCCCTGTACACTCTAATACGTCTCCATATATTGCTGTCTTATATTCGTAATTATTATATTATGACCCCAATTTATTAGATAATAAGTACGGATCATCTAGAATCTAGAGCTTATAGCATGGGTGCACACAAAAAGTTTGGAATGACTAAACCCATCAAAAATGAGTTAAATTTTAATTGCTCAAGAAAATACGGGAATTTATACGTGAGAAGCGAATCTAAATATTCAGAGATAGAATGATTAAAATTTAATTGGTCCAATTCAAACAGTTAATTCACTTCAATTATGGTAAAAAGTTGTGATAGATCAAACTTTGATAGCCATATAAGCAATGCATATGTTGGTTTACAAAATAATAAAGTAAATATTGCTGTTATATTTTATATAACAGGAGGCAAACGGGCAGGAGGCTCATCTGATGTGAAGTGATACCGCCGCCCATGGACACTCACACTGCCAGAAGAGTAGAAGTTTAAGAATTGGTCCTCTCATTTATTAAAAGAGGTTCGGAATAGATTAACGCTTATTATCAAATACATAAAGTATGCCTACGGTCCCAAAACTCTGCTGTCTTCAGAAATTGAGACCTAAATGTAACTCCCGTTATTCAACAATGTATGATTAGGTTTTTAAAGTCAGGTGCTTTTATAGCGTGACCGAATATTTAGAACATAAGTTTAACAATTACTCATAAATGACTTGACTTCTTATTATGACATTTGCATGCCTATTTATATATGGCTGATTGTGCGGACTTTTCTTGTTGTTCGATTTTTTTATTTTGTACCACTATCTTGGCAAATAAAGGATTTATTTATTTATTTATGGAATTTGACTTAGGGTAAGATTCTGAAACTAGCGTATGACAAAATTTAATACGTTTTTGACACACGGGAGTGACAGTGTTAGTCTTGATTCTGAATGACACCGGTATCTGAATTTTGACCTGCTGGTTTCTTTACGATGTTTTTCTTGACGATTTGAGCTTTTTGCTGTGGACCAATGGCCTTTCTGTCCATGTGCGCATTGAACATTCGCTCAAACGGCGAAGAAAAACATCGTGAGGTCACCGGCTTGTCTTAGACCCAAAAAGTCGATGGCGTCAGGCACAGGAGGCTGATCACCCACTTACCTATTAGATTGACAAATGATCATGATACAGATGTAGAAATCTAAAGCCCAAACCTAAATATCACACCGATTGTATGTCGTCATAATATAACAAATTGAATAGTAATAATTTATTAAATATTACTTAGCCATGTTTCAATGACCCCAATACCCAGAGATTATCAAATAAACATACTTGATGTGCAAGATATCGCATATAATTTAGTAAGGACACGACAGCTGCACCAATCACAATATAAGGGGCGTGGCTGTACCCCACCCCACTTCCCGAGTGATCCCCGGATTATTTTATTGTTCTCAATGAAACTTTTTATCGTGCCATTGTCTCGTATTGGGGTGAAATATCCGGTCGGATATACCGTTTCAACTCATCTTTATTCACTGGGAACACGAAAGGATTCATTTTTTTCTGTTTTAATAGGGGTGAGCTATGGTTATATATTATTTTATATATTTTCAACAAACAGTATTTACAATATTCTTAAACTACATAGTAATAATAAATAAATAGAAAATTAAAACAAATTTAAAAAATTTCGTCCCTGTGGCAGTTTACCTTTAACGCTGGCAGTATTTCTTTGCTGTATTGCGACTTATTGCGAGAAAAGCACCAGCTCTGGGGTCACTGGTACTATCTACCAGGCGCCAACACAAATCTTTAAGCGCCTGTTCACTTGAACCACATGGCCCAAGGGTCTACTCCAAGGGGAAAGACTCTTTTTGAGCCGTTTATTATTTTCCACCAGCTTTTGTGCTTGTCCAATCTTTTATGTATTATTTAATCTATCGCTTAGTCATACCTAGGCAATGTTATCAAACCTTGATGCTAAAGGCTGCCTTTATTTGTAAATACTAGAGTTGAAGGATATTCAGTTGTGTATTCAAAATCAGCGAGACAAGCGATTGTCATAAACTCATTTCTTTTCTGTATTTATTTGAAGTCGTTAGCTTTTATTAATTAGGACGTCCCGCCGCGGCGTTGAGCGGTAGCGGTCGGGAGCTGTCACCGATCCACGTAATTGTAAATATGTATAGCCTTCTCTTAATTTATTTATATTGCTATTCAAAAGCACCTCAGGCTATTAGGAACACAACATTGATTCCCATATAAATTAGACTATAAATCAGAGCCAACACTAAAACCGATTCTCACGGTCGAAACCGGCTCGGTTAATATTAAATCGTATTTCGTTCTTATGATTATTAATTAAACATTTCTCATATTTCAGGAGCATCCCAGCTTACGCGGCACGCCTTTGGCAATGCTGGCGGCGCAGTGTAATAAGCTATCGAGCAAATCTCCTCCGCCTCTGGCTGACGCGGCTGTCGGGAAGGGCTTTCATCCCTGGAAGAAAAGCCCAGGAACACATTCACCACCGGGCGCCGGAGTGGCCCCTCGTTCACAGCCACCCTCTTGCACACCCTACGGCCGCGGCCCGACGGCATGCGCAGCTGCACCCACCTACGGAAATGACATATACTTCCCATCCTCAGGAGACCAACTATTAGGAAAAAGTGAATCGAGCGCGAGCCTGGGTTCAATGTACTCAAGACACCCCTATGAATCGTGGCCCTTTAACGTTGGTGGAGGAGGCGGCGGTGGGGCGCTCAAGGCTGCCGAAATGGGGGGCGTCAGTGCTGTCGGCAGTACTTGGTGGGACGTCCACAGTGGTTGGCTCGATGTTGGAGGGCAAATGGCAAATTATGCCGGTCAAGATTATTCACAACTTACCCATTCCCTGTCTGGTGGAGCGCATTTACTTCCACCAGCTCCACACCTCTTACAAGACGCTTACAAATCAGTATTGCCGACGCAAGGATCGTTTGGATTACACGCGCCTGGCTCTCCAGCTCCTCCAGCGCAGGCACCCTCACCCCGGTCCCAGCGGCGATACGCCGGTCGAGCGACTTGCGACTGTCCCAATTGTCAAGAAGCCGAACGACTGGGACCCGCTGGAGCTCACCTCCGCAAAAAGAACATTCATAGTTGTCACATTCCTGGCTGCGGAAAAGTGTACGGAAAGACTTCACACTTAAAGGCCCATTTACGCTGGCACACCGGTGAACGACCTTTCGTATGTAATTGGCTATTCTGCGGCAAGCGATTTACGCGGTCAGACGAACTGCAAAGACATCTTCGGACTCATACTGGTGAAAAGAGGTTCGCATGTCCCGTGTGTAACAAGAGGTTTATGAGATCGGATCACTTAGCCAAGCACGTGAAAACTCACAACGGAGGCAAGAAAGGAAGTTCAGACTCGTGTTCGGATTCAGAGGAGAACAGCCAAGGGGAATGTGGAGTGGGTGGGCGGTCACCTGAGCACCAGTTGGACGTGAAGCCCGGGCCGCTGTGACTGGGGCGCGCGGCGCTGCCGGTGCCCCATCACGCGTCGCTTCTGTGATACTGCAGGCCGCCCGCGCCCTCTGTACATACCACATATCAACATGAATAGTTACGTGAAAGTGTAAAGTCTACTCGATATTAATCGACGGACTTTGTGAGACTAAAGTGTACAGTATAAAATACTAATTAGTAATTACGATAATATTATCCTACTAACATAATTTAAGTAGTTAACACGTTTGTCCAAAATTGCAGTTGGTACTTATTGTAATGATAAAATACCTCATGGTCCCAATAAAATCAGAGTTTATTTATAAATTATATTAACTAGATTATTGCTAATTAATTGTTACGTACAGAGATCATAAATGCATTTTGTGTCAATTTTTCTTGTATAAAAGTAGAATATTGTTTTAAATAATGTCTTAATATTTTATTTTAAGTAGATGCCTAAAAAATTCACAAGAAATAACCATAGCGGTACATCACAGAATATTCTAATAATGTTTCGTCTGCACAAAAATAGTAAAATGTTGGATTGTTCTTATGAAAATTTATAAATTTGTATAATAAAGCATGCTATCTATGTACAAACTGTGTATAAACGAAGCAAATGCCTGAAATTGATTTTATAAACTTGAAATATATTTTCCGAGTGGATTTATGCATTTTTATTTGGTTACAACTATAGTCAAAAACTAATTATAACCTTGGCGAATTTATACAAAATTTCCTTCAACTCATTAAATTCGACTGATTTGAAATAGCGCCATCTATACGGCGCAGGAGAAAACCAATATTGAACCACATCTTCATGCAACTGATATTTATTAGTTTAAATCTTAAACGACCTAAAATTAACATAGTGCTAGGGATGGGATGGGCTTAAAAGTATTAAGATGTATGTGAATATAGTAAAATATAGTAAAAGTGGCATCGCTTTGACTCCCACTTCTATTCACACACTATTTCAATTGTTTTCATTCAGTGATGCAACCCCTTTTTGGGTCTCCCTTTTGCTTCCTTCTGCTGCTGCCCTATGGTCTTAGCCTCGTAATACAACTATTACATTGATAATTTTTATTAGTTAGTACGTGAAGAGCCTTTGTGCCTTCAACTATTTATGCCTCACTAGTAGATAATACTGATTCACAATACGCATCATAAGTTCGTGAACAAATCTACGATCAGAACTAATTTAATTCTCTATACTCAGATGGTCCATTAGAAACTTAAATTAATAAGGTTTTCAAGTTAGTACATAAAACCCTAGAAGTTTTTTGACTAATACTATAATATTATAAATAAATCAATGGCGTTACAACCTTTTTAGGTCAGTGCCTCAGATTTCTGTATCTGTTTCATGATCATTTGTTTATCTAATAGGCAAGTTGGTAATCAGCCTTCTGTGCCTGACGCACGCCCCCGACTTTTTTGGGTCTTAGGCAAGCCGGTTTCCTCACGATGTTTTCCTTTACCGTTCGAGCGAATGTTAAATGCGCGCATAGAAAGAAAGTCCATTGTTGCACAGCCGGGGATCGAACCTACGAGCCACATGCTGAAGCCACCAGGCCAACACTGCTGTTTTGAATATATATATACAATATACATGGTAATTAATATGACATTTGCATGCCTGATTAATCCTCAAATCACATAACAATAAAATAATTTCGTGTACACACACACAATTAAATGAAAGTCGTGTATTTCTCGCGTAATTCATGCAAATGACTTACGTTTTGTTACGAACAAAATAATGTGTTGTATTTTTTTAATAATTAATTAATTAATGTACCACTTTTTTTTAAAATAAATGATTTATTTATTTTTATTTATTAATAAATTACTTAGTTCATTATACAAGCTAAGGGTTTACAAACAGTTTTAGTGAATAAAAAAACTTATGATTACAATTCTTATTTCAAAAATTCTACCAAAGGGATAGTTTTACACTGATTACAATATTAATATAAAAAATACCGATTGAAACAGTAATTTAATACATTTAATGAAATCCTTTTGTTTACACAAGAAGCCGACGTAAAAAGTAAATTGAAACCGCAAATGAGAAGGGGATGGGTTTGAGGCTTCGCGGGTGGCGTCAACTCGTGCCGTAAAAACCAAACTCATCTGCGACATCGGCATACCCATTAAACCTAGCTTTATCTTCTCTTATTAATGACGTTTTCGCGGTGGTCCGACCTTTATTGACATCTATATTTGCCAAAAGTCGCACGTTATTGACGTCTTATTAAAATTCTGACGGGTAATCTCTCAATATGGGTAATAATAGGTGATCAGCTTCGAGTTGACACGTTGCAAGATTTAGAAAGATTAATCTATGCCAAAATTAAGTATGGAGACTGTTGCATCGAATATCGATCGAAGAGCTGTGTTTTTCTAGATATATATTCTATAGCTAATTAGAGGCATTAAGTAACTAACAACTGTTTGTAAAATATTTACAGAAAATTTTAGAAAAATTTGTTTTAAGCTCAACATTATTTCTTTGAAGTTTGTATCTGCCGTAGCCATTTATTGGACATATACCGTCTCTTCAGCTGTAGACAAGGACAGACAGCACTTTGCTTAACACTGAATCTGTGAGGATACGGTGAGAATCTACCGTGACCTGTCATCTGTTTGATCAATCCCGTTGGTTTTATTCCTTTAATGTAATCCTAATCCTATAATGTAATGAGATATTTGGTGATAGATACAGATTCTACCTTATAACGTATCGTGGGCCAGGCACGGCCAGGTGACCCCGGTGACGGGGGTGATGTCATCCGCCTAGCGCCGGCACCCGCCCCTGCAGCCGCGGGTACCAGTGCAGCACTCTCTCGTTCCATCGGTCGTCGCACTTTCTTGCTGTTTTTTTTTTTTTTATAGAACGGGGGGCAAACGGGCAGGAGGCTCACCTGATGTTAAGTGACACCGCCGCCCATGGACACTCTCAATGCCAGAGGGCTCGCGAGTGCGTTGCCGGCCTTTTAAGAATTGGTACGCTCTTTTCTTGAAGGACCCTAAGTCGAATTGGTTCGGAAATACTTCAGTGGGCCCCACCCACACCCGATTCTACCTTAACGTTCTGTATACGAAGACTTTAAATAGGTTTCTCAAACACAAAATGACCGTCCCATCGCCACACACACTTTTTAATTAATAATAAATTCATATTAGTTTTGCACAAATTCGCATGAAGAAATAAGTTTTACAAGGAATTTTCGACTTAGTTTACAAATGTATTGTTTCAAATCCCATACCCAACTTAATTAATACCAACGATTATTTAATATAAACTGTAAGAGTCACGAAATATATTGGATTACGAACTTGTTAACCTCTATAATCGAATTGCATAAACAGTTATTGAAACAGAGCCCTCTTAATGAGAGATTTATCGTCCCTAATAGAATTACGAATGTTTAGGGGGAGGTTTTAAAAACATCAGTATATGAAGCTATTGATTTTGTATGCAAAGTGAAAATTTATATTTGTTTATATGTATTTTGTTTTCTAGTTAAAGTAAATCATGTAATAACAGTTATTTTAGACGCGTACGTAAGTCTGCCTGTGTTTTTCGATGGGCGGTGGATGTCTTCCGTCGCTGGAATCCCTGCTAACATGCACGGCTTGACGAGATTAAGAACTGCCCCCGTGAACTTCATTCCCCATAATATGATTTTTTACCTAGCCTACCTATATAGTACATTTGGAACATTTCGCAGTGCTACCAAATAACGACTGTTAGCTTTTTCGGAATAAAAACCAAATTGCTAAAAAGACAAAACTTTTAATTTTTTTCATGACTTAGAGTTTTGCGCTTAGCAACATATTTTGCTTGTAATTTTTATTTATATAGATTATTATAATGCAAGAGAATTCTATTTTTATTGGTTAAAACATCACAAGTCGATAATATTAACGTCAGTAATAAGCTATTTTCTATTAAAATGTTTTTAGTCGTTCTATAAAACATCACATATTAAAGTCATTTGATTGTGCTAAAACTATTAAATAATATTTACAACATGTAATAATTACTCGCAAAAGACAAACGGATTACGTTTACGTAATTTCTGGATTACGTTTTTGGTTGCATCTTTTGTCTAATAGAATCAAAAATAAATAAGTCAGTGGCGCTACAACCTTTTTAGGTCTGGCCCTCAGATTTCTGTATATGTTTCATTGATCATTTGTCAATCTAATACGCAAGTAGGTGTTCAGCCTCCTGTGCCTAACACACGCTGGCTTTTTGGACTAAGGCAAGCCGGTTTCCTCACGATGTTTTCCTTCGCCGTTCGAGAGAAGTTACCGTTAAGCATAGAAAATAAGTCTATTGGTGCACAGTCGGGAATTGAACCTACGACCTCAGGGATGAGAGTCGCACGCTTAAGTCACTATCCGAACTCTAACAGGATCAACTTATTAAAAATCATAAACGAATATGAAAAGTGTTTCAAATAAATCTATGTCATATTAATTAGCAAATAAACTAGATTTTTTGCGAAATGTTCTCAGAATGATGATCAGACACGTGTTGCGGCTTCTTTGCTTTACGAGGGTCAAAATTTACGACGACTTATTCATCTCACATTAATGAGCTGGTTTTTGTGTTAACTTTGTATAGCTTATCCTAACGTTGACCGTCCAAAGTTTGCGAAATGTTTATTTTAATATTTTTTAGAGCCTGAAGAATCGAAATCTGTCCAGTAGTTTTTGTTAATATGTTAACATAAAAATAAATTTTCTCTTTAAACTATTAGACTACAGATTAGAAGACTAACATTTATATAAGCTGCTGCAGCTTAATTGTAATGTAGGATGCTTCCTTGCTCACCACGACATGAGCTGCCAATTGAAGAGAGAGAGGAAGGTTGGAAGTTTCTGGTTTCGAATGCCAAGACACATTGCAGTCAGTGGAGTGAGAGAGTGAATCTTGATAAAAGCAACATTGTTGCGAACAAGCGAAGAACGGAAACACAGGCAGTTTACAACTTTTTA